TGAACTTGGAAATATCATTGGCCGGCTTGAGGCCAAGCATTTGAGGGCATCTCTTGGAGTCTTGGTAATTAATTAGTCTTAGTTTCTTGACCACCCGCACTTCCTCTCCATCGCCCCGCCCCCATTCTCCTGCAGCACTTTTGCTCGAAATCGCGTCCAGACGATCCGGTGAAGCGTGCGGTTTCTAGCCTTGGTGCAGGTGACCGATACTGCATCTGGTAGGACCGTTCCCGCGAAGGATGATGCCTTCTTCCTGAAGAGGAATGTGTCATTTTGTCACCGAACCGTCAATTGCCTCTCGGTTACGGAGTACTCTGCCCTTACTGCGTAGTGTAAATCGAGTGTCGTGGGGATCTGGGGTAGACGCCCTCATTTCGCTCTCTGCAGACACCTCCAGGCATCCCCCCGGAAGTCATGTTCGCGTGGCCCCCCTTCGTCCCAAATTGAAACAAGGGCTATGGAACACTTGATCTTTGCGCAAATTTGGCACCTTTGGTGAGAAAGTGTCTAGGTATGTAGTTATTGTGAAGTTGTTGTTGTTTCGCTCGTCAATCACGGTTGGCGGCACCTGAGCGCTGTAATCATCGAGCAAAGCGCTCGTATCTCGCTCATCCGTCTCTACTTCCTATCATGTCGGATCACGGATCCTTTCAGAGTGTTATCAGCTCTGCCCCCTGTTGTCGCAGTGGTCGGACTCGCCGAGAAGATGGGAATGGTGCGCAACCCCGCGTCAGACGGCAATCTACTACGCGTTCTCTGTGCAGCTATCGGGCGTCCTGGTCCTGAGGCGCCAAGGTCGCCAAGGTCGCCCGAACATGCTTCCCGTGGTGCCATGCAGCTCAGAGCTGTCACATCTTCAGCTCCAGCCCCGACCTGTGATCGTTGTCATGCAGTGGAAGCCATCCCGGGGCCAATCTGGACTTTCTGTAGACCAAAATGATTCTAGCGCACTTCTAGCTTCCACCGAGCCTGCGGTTGTGTTCCTATTGGCGGTGGTTGGATAATAGTTGCTACCATGTGATCTTGCAGCTCCAATCGAACGATTCACAACTTGGAGGCTAGAGCTTTCTGCGTATCCGTAGCTACCCGTCGTGAGGGCTGAGATGCATGCGAGGCGAGCTTCAGCTCAGCGTCGTCAAGGATGCAAAAGTCACGCCGTTTAGTCTGGGTAGACTTGGGGCCTTGACCTGTCCCTGCTGGTACATGGCTAGCCAGACTGCATCACCATTGACAGCTTCCAAGGCGCGACGTGCTTCAACGTTCTGGCTAAGTGCTTCGCTCAACAGATCCAGCACTTCGTCGAATATCTCGGCGTCAAGGCGAACATGTGAAGCGATAGCTGTCAACATGCGAATCACGGAATCCCAGATCTGTGCAGATTGAGCGAATTTGCCCAAGCCGCCTGATACCGAGCCTTTCGTTATCTCTGCAGATTGATAGCTTAGCCGATCGCTTCCTGTCATGACGGGAATGACGATTCCCTGACTCGTAGTCCCGGCGGCCTGGCCTGGCCTGGTACTCTCTCGGTGCGTACTGCCCTTACCTCGAGACTGGATAGCCTCTAGCTTTTTCTTTCGACACCACTTTCCCAGCCCGTCCCACCACTCTGTCTTGATTCTGGAGGCTAGAAAGTCTCCGGCGGTGGCGGAGAGCGCACAGAGGGCATCGCAGGCTGAAATGGTCACAAACGCCTCCTCGTCGTAGATTCGGGTGATCACCACCGGCCATACAGCATTGATCAGCGGCAAAAAAGAGTCTTCGTCGCCTGAAAGAGCTGGAGATACGGTGGTCAGTAGGTCGAGCAACGACTTTCGCAGCGTAGGGCTGGGTGAAGTAAGGTAGTGCTGTGTCAAGCCGGCGATCTTCTCCAGTAGGGTATACGTTGGTGTCTTGGGTGGTTTCTCCTTTTCGACTTGGTTGTTTGCAGCGTCCTCGTCAATTCCTTCTTCCCCGCCGTCTTTGGGTTTTTGGTCCTGCGTACCCCAAGGCTTTTGAGGATGATTGTTGTTAGTTTCGTCGGTTACATCGTCGATCAAGGCTTCAGTCTCTCTTTCCCGTCGTCTCTTTAATAAATTGACAATGTCGTCAATTGTGACATGACTGCCGGCAGCCTTCTTGTGACTCTCTGGTCCATTTTGTCGGCCCTCCAGAAGAAGTCTGTCAGACTTCACGCCTTGTTCTACAACCTCCTTGAGCACTGCAAACAGACTTTCAACAAATACTGGGTACCCGTGGTAGTTGTCTAAGGCTGCGAAAATGGAGGCCACAACGTCGTCGAGGTACGGCAGCAGTCGCGACCCGGTTAAGCGAGTGATCATCACCAACACCTTCGTGGACGCCGGCGATATATCGAACGTGTTGAGCCGCAGCGAAACAGAGTTGATCATATAGTCGACGTTCTCGATGATTAATTCGGAGACGCTCGTGTACCCACACGATACAGCAAGAACGTTCAAGGTCGTGATTGCATGCTCTCTTAGTTGTGAGCTCGCAGAGCCAAGGAAGGCTGTTGTAGGATATAGCACGTCAATGAGTTCTGGTCTGAAGGCTTCGCCTGATCTAGATGCTGCGAAGGCGGTTACTTCAAGTGCTGTGGCCTCTAGCCTCCAGTCGATCTCAGCCAGTTCAGAGTGTGAGTCGAGCAAAACGACGGCGAATGCATACAATTCCTGAAAGGTGGATTCGGAACACTCGCCCCCAGAACCCAGTGAAGAGAAGTCCAGGAGATCGTCGAGCTCGTTGGAACGAGAAAAGGCGGTCTTGAGGAGTTCAAAGCTCAGCCAGAAAGAGGCTATCTGAGAATCGCCTGACGAGTCCCTGGCGTGATCCAGCATTTCGGCAGCAAGCCTGGTCTGCTGCGAGGCTGGCCCGACGTTGGAAAGCAAGTCAATCATAGCTGACCTTGTTCCAGTCTGACTCTCCTCGCCCAACAGCACATTTGAATATTGTTTTGGAGTGTCTCCTATTCTCACAATATCTTGGTTGTACCATGAAGCGTCCGGCGTTGTTTCATCCAGGATCTTGCTAGGCTTCGCTCCGGTTATGAGAGATGTGACACTGTCCCTTAGAGCCGCCGCTATTGACTCGTCCAATAGTGAAGAATCCAACTGAAGGCTACTGACAAGAGCCATACCCTTCATCAAATTCTGGACGGCGGCCTGTTTCTTGCTTTCGTCGGCAGACTGCATGATCCTGGGCAAGCTGGTGATCCAATTGTAACATGTGACCTTCACGGTCTCGCCAAGTTCAGGATATATGATGGCCAAATCTTGCAGACTTGTACCGGTCAAAGACGTCGTTGGATGTGTTGGTGAGATGACCATGGCTGTCTCCACCAGTACGGAAGAGCAATTTTCCAGGGAGGTGTGACATTCGTCGAGAAGTCCAAGACAGAATGCCAGCAGCGCCTCGCGTACGTCTGTATTATCGCTTATTCGGAGTTTCAAGACTGTTGCCAAAGCCAGCTTGATCTGTGATTTTGTCGCGTTGAGCCATGATAGGCTCAGTACACCCCCTTGTTCGGCCTCCGGTGGAGTATCTGAGTTCAGTCTTGCGATGATGCTCCGGGTCCTGACATCGCCAAGAACTTTTACTAGCACCAGTCCCAACGACTGTATGGAACCGACCAAGACGCGCGTCTTCTCTCCCTGGGGTTTGGAAAGAAGTTTTGTCAGGCTAGAGACGATGCCCGGAATGAACGACGCAAGTGCGGCATGGTCCTTGATGCTCGTGTAGAAGCAGTTCAGGATACGCAGAGCTTCGAGCTGAATAGCTGACGTTCTTCCATCCGCTACGCAGCCCAGAATTACCGTGATGGTATGGCCCAGAGTTGGCACCAATCTCTCCTCGGTCAGAGCTGTTGCTGCTGTGCTGGACGTTCCAGCCACAGTAAGCAAGGCAGTTAATGCTCTAAGCGATTCAAGCTCGGTTTCCTCGGGCACATTGTGCTCTCTCTCGCGGCCAGGTACTCCTCCAACGATGAAAGTGAGAAGTATCAGGAGCTGCTGCAAGATCTGGGGCGAGATGTTGGACTTCCAGCCGTGAATAATGATAACGGTAAGGCACTTGATGGCGAGCTCGATTAGGCGCTTGGGGTATTGATCGTGACTGCGGAAGACATGAGAGAGCGGGAAAAAGACGTAGTCGGCAAGCTTTGAATCCAGAACGTTGGCATCTCTATTGACTTGGTCGTTGAGAATGTGGTACAACTCGTCAGTCAACTCGGATAGTCGTTTGAAGGAGGACGAATCTCCTTGTTGTCGGATTGCTAGCTGACTAATTGAGACACAGCATGGTTTGAGCTGATTGAATTGGTCAGCATATGATCTATACGTCCCAAGGTATACGAACCTGCTGAAAGAACTCATTCCGGGCTGGGTTTGCATTGTCGGGAGTGGTCGCCATTACGAGGCAGAGGGCAGGTATTCCACGCCAGCCTCCAGCGCGTAACTTAACGGCGGAGACGTATCTGATCTAGAAAAGCCTATCGTCGCGGTTTTCGAGAATACGACTGGCGTAATATTGAAGAGAGAGTGGTGAGGATTCGCGTGTTTACTGGTAGTTGAATGTGGAGGCTCTGTCGTTCACTTCGCAACCCAACTTTGACGGAGGAAACGCCTGCCTGAGATGACTACCTATCCTGAGAAAGATTGACGGTACGAAGTACATACCTTCCTAAAGTAGGCCCAATCGGGTGGCTTCCTTTCGACGTCCCTCGGTGATGAGCCCCACTAACAGCCGATTGTTCAGGGCCTTTGGTGGTTTTGGCTCGCTAAAAGGGAAGCTGGCAGCCCCGCAACAGCACATCAGAGCAGCCCCCACCAGAGCGCTTCCCCCTCCACTAGGTTACGTCAATTTCAATAATTCATGTGAGGAAGCAACAACATCGCAAGACTCTCTGAATTTCTGATCAGCAGTCACGAAAGGAGCCTTCCGCTGAAACTACGACCGAATCTTGACGAACAGCCTGTCTTTGTCCGAAAGGGCCTCAGTAACTCGCCATGGCCCCGGCTCCTTTCTCTTGCACGGTGCATCCTTTCGATTCCCGAACCTCTCACTCTAGCGCTTATGAGATCGGCCCATCTGGAGCATCAAACGCCCTTCTCTTCATAGGAGGCCTCGCAGATGGACCTCATACTGTTGGCTACACCAAGGCCATAGCCAAGCATCTTGAGACAGCGGCACAAGACTGGTCTGTGTTTGAGATTCGGATGAGGAGCTCCTTTTCTGGCTACGGCTTTTCGAGCTTGAAGAACGATGTTGAGGATATCTCGGCGCTGGTGAGGTATCTCCGAGGTATCGGAAAGAAAAAGATTGTCCTTATGGGCCACTCAACTGGATGCCAGGTATACCGTTATAGTAGCCTCGAACATTTACAGGACCCAACTAACCTTGGTAGGACTGTATGGAGTATACCAAGCACAAGGAGGACCCTGTCGATGGCTTCATCATGCAAGGTCCTGCATCTGACCGGGAGTCTATTGAAGACTTTGTCAAACCTGACTGGTTGAAGAAGAGCCTAGGGCACGCAGAGGGGCTGATTTCCGCTGGAAAGGAGGCCGAAGCGATGCCTAAAGATCTAGTACCAAGCTTTTTCTCGACACCTATGACGGCCTACCGTTGGCACTCTCTGGCGGCTAAGGGGTAAGTAGCTATGATACTCGATCTCCGGGGTGAGGTGAATGAAATACTGATATTCATCACAGGGGTGACGATGATTACTTCTCCTCCGACCTCAAAGAGTCGTTCGTCTCCGAGGTCTGGAATCGTTTCCAGCAGCCCGTCATGGTGCTACACTCTGCAGGGGATGAGTTCGTGCCAGCCAAAATCGATAAGCAAGCTTTGATCGACCTGTGGAAGAAGACAAACTCCAATGTCCACGAGCTATCTGGGTTAATTCCCGGAGCAAGCCACACTGTGAAGAACCCGGAATCCCAGCAGTGGCTTGCAGAACGTGTGGCTCAGTTCATCCAGCAAGTATGAAGTCAGACTCAGGACGGACCGCATGAGCCTCAGCATACCTTGCCTTAGTTGAGAGGGGATATTTGTCTTCACTCATGGCCAAATACATTTAACGAGCAACATTCCCGAGATTGGTTCGAACGTGTTACACGAGATGACTAAAGAAATACCGGTCTCAGCTCGGTCGGAAGCTTCCAAAGTGCCTTATGTGAGCAAGCCCGAGTTCCATTGACAGCACCCCACTTCCCCGGAATAGGGAGCGAGGTCGGCGATACCCCTCCGAGACCCACTTCATCGGGGTCACTGCGCCCGTGACGATGCTCAATGCAGGTCGCCGACCCCAAGTGGGTGTATTATGCTATCACGGACACCGCGAATACTTAATCCCAGGTGAGCTCGTAGCTAGACCAGCCCTTATCACATTGGTCAACGTTCAAAAAGACTATCTCAAAACACCATCTTGACTTCCAGCTTCGTTCGGATCAACTCGTACACAACATACTGTCGACCCTTTGAACTTGATACCCGCACCGACATCTCCCTTTCACCAACACCTTTACTTTCATCCACAATGTGCTTCGGAGTCACCTGCTCGACTTGCTGTAAGACGACAACCCCAGTCTCGTAACATTCCGTGTAGTTTCATGAAAACTAAAAGTATCCAATAGCAAAGGCAACCTGGCGCGGCTGCGGCCAACACATCCCGTCGGCGCTGAGCAGCGTCCCCGAGGAACAGTGGTGCACCTGCACGCCCAAGGTCACCGTCAACGGCAAGGAGTATCCCCCGGCAGGCACTGTGTCGATTCCCGGTATGTCTTGGTTGACCGGCTTGTTTGGGGGCAATTCGAATGACAAGTCGAAGCAGGGCACTAAGGGAGAGCTGTGAGAGATGGAGGAGGGGAGTTTACCTGCACTTTTTTGAGTCTTGCTTCGAGGTTTGCTTGGTGGGCGAGTTTTGAACCGGGTGTATTAGTACGAGGTGGCGATCGGCGAGGCGTTGTGCGTCTCACGAGGTGATGTTGGACGGCGGCGGTGATGGCGTAGAAAAACATGAGTTGAAAATCGAATATCTGATACCGTACCGAATTCCTGCTTCACGAGAATACCTTATGAAGTCTTTCCCGACGCATCCATGTCGAGCCTTTCCTCACAGGCTGTCGAGTTATGGAGGGGTAATCAGTGTTGACGCCCTGCCCCTCACGTCTCATTTGGGGTCCCTCAGTATTAGGTTGCGCTTGCCAGACCGCCCCGTTCTCGGGCTAAAGCACCCTATCGGCGCCGGCGCTTGACTGGTCATTTACGAATCGAAACCCTCTGATTGACCAACGCTATCGGGGCCCGGAACGGAGCTGATAAGAGGAACCGGCGTCGCCCATGATTCGAGAGACCTACCTTACGCCCCGAACCTTTGACTCATTTTGTCACTTTTCAGAACAACTACGTACGTATCATGGTGTAATAGTGAAAGGCCTGCGACATGTTGCTCCTTTCTCCCGTCTTTTTGGGAGCAGCATTCTCTGTCCTAGCTTTGACGTATGTCATTCGCTGCGTCCTGTCCCCGTTGTGGAAAGTTCCTGGCCCGAGGATATCCGCCTTCACTTCCCTCATTCTGAAATGGCATGAACTACAAGCAACCAGGACGAAGTACATCCATGCGCTCCACCAGCAATATGGACCGGTTGTCCGAGTCGCACCAGACGAGGTCTCATTTACATCGTACGAAGCCGTCAAAGAGATTTACTGCTCTGGAGGTAGCGGTTATGACAAGACGGAGTTTTATGACTTGTTCAAAGTCTATGGACGAAGGTATGGAAGGCAAGCTTATGTTGGTTGGGTAAAGCAGAAAGCTTACAGTACTAGGACTATGTTCACAACGTTGAACAAGGAAGATGTAAAGCCCCCCCGGATGAAACTCCAGTCTGGGGTAGAATAGCAACTTACAACATTTGTTCTAGCATGCGAAGCGCAAGAGAATAATTGCGGACCGCTACGCAAACAGTAACGTCCTGCGACCTGTACCTCTAGGCGGCATTCAGGAGAGGTCACAAAAGTTTATCAAGTTGTGCGAGAAGTCCGTTGGCAAGAGCCACGACATATTCGTACGTAGACCCCGTTTTCAACTCTCTGGACGGTTGCCTGACTGCGTTTGCAGATGAGTCTTCACTCATACGCCTGTGATTGCGTCACACATCACCTGTTCCATCCGTACGGCAGTAATTGCCTCGAGGACGAGGCGGACGAGGAAATGATGCACCAGGTTGCTGCTGACGACAGCCTGCAAAGTGAGTACACAGCCCAACATGCCTGCTGAATGTACCTAAGGTAGACTGACGATAACACAGACCGCCTTGTTCAGCACTATAGTCCCGCGCTGCACAAGCTCCTCTCTCGATTCCTGTACTTCTTCGCCAAGCCCCGCGAGACGCCCCTCGCCGACACCTTTGTCATCGAGTCCAGCAAGAAGCCCGACCCGGCGGCATTCACGCTCCTGAGCCGGCTCCACGACAAGGCGGGCCAGGGACTGGACCAGCTCGACATGGCGGGCGAGTGCCTCGACCACATGGCGGCAGGCATCGACACGACGGGCGACGGGCTGTGCTTTCTCATGTGGGAGCTCTCGCAGCCGCGGTCGCTGCGTTTTCAGGAGACGCTGCGACGCGAGCTGAGGGAGAACCCGGGGGTCGCGTTCGACAAGTTGCCGTTCCTCGATGCCATTGTGCAGGAAGGGTTGCGGTGCTTCCCAGCTATCCCGATGTCCCTGCCGCGTTATGTGCCCCAGGGCGGGCGGGTAATTGACGGGTATGCCATCCCGGGGAAGACTACAGTCAGCTGCCAGGCGTATTCCATTCACCGCATCAACGAGGAAGTGTTCCCGGAGCCAGACTCGTTCAACCCTGATCGGTGGATGGAGCCAACGGGTGACGCTGAGAGGAAGCGGCTCATGTTTGCGTTTGCCAACGGAGGCCGGGGATGTGTTGGCAAGCAGTGAGTAACCCCCATAATCCATCCACAATGAGATCCCATCTGCTAACAAAGCACCACCAAGTCTGGCGCTCGCCGAGATGAAGACTCTGTTGACGGATATTTACACCCGTTACACGACGCTTCCTGAGACGTCAATGGCGGAAGAGTCGATGGCCATGTCGGACCAGCTCATCTCCTCGCGACCTCTAGGACAAAAGTGTTTGCTGCAGTTTGTTCCCGTTGGCGAGAAGTGGGAATGATGGGGTTCTCGATGGGAGGAACGGGAGGATTTCAAAGGTTGCATAGTGTGTGTTGCATTTGGCGCGAAGGGTATGGACGGCATTGTTGGCACATCGCGTCTGGGCGTTTCTGTGAGTGTTTGATCATTCCGGTACTGAAGCACGGGTAGGTAGCGTTTGTGGCATCTGAGTTCTGGGGCAGGAATGCTGAATCAGTAAAAAAAAAAAAAATATCGTGCCTCGATAAACGAGACAGCTTGGCAAATGTGGTTGGGTAGGCATGGTCCCTATAGACCTAGAGGGCCAATACCAAGTCACATCGTGCCAGAAAGATTTCGTGGTGATTCATGAATGTACGTCGTTGTGTAGCGTCCCTGTGTGGTCTTTGCTTGGGAGTTCACTGGGACCATACACATTTACTGCATACGTGGACAAGCCAGGCTTTCCGCTGCCAACTGCCCGGCTTTTTGAATACATCCATCCATAGCTTGCTTGGCCAAGGCAAACTGCAAGTCGAGTGATGACTTGCATGGCAACGACTGGCTCGGCTTTGTGAGCCGGCGTTAGGCGAGGCGAGCGAGCAAAAGCAATGGCGAACGGTAGGCTGCATGCTGCAGAGACTGGATCCACCTGATGGCGAAACGGGGAATTCCTAAAACCCATGTCAGGTGTGCCTATCCGTACTTCGCTAGGTATTCTTTTTTGTCGCTTATTTTTAGTTTTATGTTGCCCGTCCCTCTGCTTGCGCTGCTGCGTGCTGCCCCGGATCCTTTGGAAAGCTTCCTTGACCTTTCCCGCACAATTGCGGTGCGAATTGCGCTTTCTCGAAAAGCGGGAAAGACCGTTGATTGGCCCGTGCCCGGCGCGGAGCTGTCGCGGGTTTCCCCCTTTAAAATGCCAATGGAACCAGGAAACGGCGCCAGGCCTTTAGGCTTTCCCACCCCTTCGCTGTCTCAAGTATTGCCTGATGAAGGCAGGAGGTGTTGAAATAATCATGAGAGAAACAAACGAGTATGAAACACTCTTGAGGGTGTAAAGAGCACAGAGAGAGGAAGAGAAGGCAAGATAATTGGGGTCGCTGTTGTCTCGATGCCTTGTAATATCCAAATGCCTACTTTGGGTGCCATGATGTAAGACGACACATAGCACAGCAACAAAAAAAATTGAGGCCAAAGTTCAAAGAAAGGTCGGGAAACATGCAAGGCAGCAAGTGGAACTGGCTGCCCAGCTGCGTGTTGCATCCTGGGCACTGGACTGGCCCGGTGGTGCCGCGGGGCAGGCGAACGAGCGAACGACAACCTCAAACTCGGATTTAAGGCTCGCTGGTTGTTCTGAGGTCCATGTCTGACAGAACGGCTCCAGGGGGTTCTTTGAGTGGTGGCGCAACTCTGACAGGCACGAGGCAAGGGCCAGCCAGCCCGCCAGACTCCCCGCCGCCCCCAGCGCCCAAACCTTGAGTGTCCTTTGGGGGGACGCCTTAGTGAATGAGGTGCTGAGGAGGCAATGAATTCGTAGGCAAGCGCTCTAAGGGAGGTCCACTTTATTATTCCTAGGGATTTTCATTTTCATTCTAGGCATTTCTTTCTGGGACTTTTCATGTGTTTCCGAACTTCCTGTCCTGCCGCCGCCACCTCTACTCCGTACTACCACCAAGAAGGCCACCACCTCCGACTCCACCTCAGCCTTTTCCAAAACTCTGCGCTCACTGCCCAGTCATCTCCGTTTTCTCCTCTTCCCACCACCCACAAGAAAAAAACGCACAAAACCCTCCGCTCGGAGATCCATTCGAGCACATCTCGCAATTATCTTAAACCCACCTTTTCGCAATCGCAGTTCACCGCCCTGCTTAGGCATCTCTGCATCCTCGCGTCCTCCGCGGTAAAATCTTCCAAAGCGTACAAAACCTCTTCCCACCTCCACCCCTCTCTCTCCTGAGAACGTCGCCACTTTCCACCACCACCACCCAACACCCCGCCCTAAACAACCACAGTATCGTCAACAATCGCCAGTAGCATCCTCTCTCGCCGCGTTCCCGACCACCGAGTCTTCTTCCGCGAGAGTTGAACATACAACACCACCCTCACGCGGTACAAGCCACATAGCAGTTTATGTATCAGCACGACAATACCACCGTCTTCAGACACTTCGTCCCCAAGCTGCAATCATTTCGCATAGCGAAACCTTGTAGCCCCAACATCAGTTCCGTTGGCTGAAATCTCCGAACCCAGAGGAGTTCATGAATTCTCGACAGCAAAGACGATCTAGTCTCGCTTTACCCTATGTTCATCAAAAGAACCCTTGAGCATTGAGTCCGCCTTCTTGCTCCCCTACCAGCTTCCTCGCCAATCAGTCGATCCTATACTATCACGACCTCCGGCTTCTTCATGCTACCCGCCCGTCCAAACGACAGCACTACCAGCTTCGCATCCCGAGCCTTTTAACTCCAGATCCAATCAACCCTCCTAAATCAAAAATACTCTTCCAAGACTCTTCTTCAGTCCACCTACTACCAATATCGCAATCATGGCTTCCCTCATCAACGTTCGTCGCGACGTCAAGGACGCTTTCTATCGCTACAAGATGGAAAAGATCGTCACCAAGATTGAGGGCAAGGGCAACGGTATCAAGACCGTTGTCGTCAACTTGAGCAGCGTCGCCCAGTCTCTCGCCCGTCCCGGTGCCTATGTCATCAAGTACTTCGGCTTCGAGCTCGGTGCCCAGACCAACGTTGACCCCGCCGACGACCGCTGGATTATCAACGGTTCCCACAACGCCGCTAAGCTGCAAGACCACCTCGATGGCTTCATCAACCGTTTCGTTCTCTGCAAGAAGTGCAAGAACCCCGAGACCGACGTCAACATCAAAGACGGTCGCATCCTCCTCGACTGCAAGGCCTGTGGTCAGCGTTCCGAGGTCGACCTCCGTCTGAAGCTTAGCGGTTATATCCTGAAGAACCAGCCGAAGAAGGGCAAGAAGGACAAGGCCGAGCGCAAGGCTGCCCGCCGCGCGAAGGCCAACGGTACCAAGGAGAACGGACAGGGAAGCGGAAGCGGCGGAGAAGGATCCGACAACGGCTCCAACGACGCCGACGACCAGGATGTTGGTAGTGATGACGAGTTGGAGAAGATGAAGAAGGAGGCTCCCGAGATTGACCAGTTTGAGACCCAGGAGCACGAGTGGGCCGTCGACATGAGCGAGGAGGCCGTCAAGGCCCGTCAGGCTCAGCTCCCCGGCGAGTTCAAGCAGAAGCTCAACATGGGCGATGACGAAGACGAGGATGGCGAGGCCTCTGGCAGCACCGTCTACGACGAGTTTGGCACCTGGATCCAGGATGAGGCCACTGCTAAGGGCAGTGTCGACAAGGTCGACTCGATTGACATCTTTGTCAAGGCCAAGGAGCTTGGTATCGAGACCAAGCACCGCTCCGTTTTGGTTCTGGTGCAGACCATCTTCGACGAGAACATTCTCGCCCAGATCCCCAAGCGCGCCGGCATGATGAAGCAGGTATGTTCACATCGTTTGGACCAATGGCTCATGACCCCTTGACTCACTTCATCTCCTAGTTTGTTACCTCTGAGCGCCACGAGAAGGCTCTCCTCGGTGGTACTGAGCGCCTCATCGGCCAGCTCGCCAAGGAGCACCCCGACATCTTTGACAAAGTTGTCAAGATCCTCCAGTTGTACTACAACCACGATCTCCTCAGCGAGGAGGTCGCCGTCAAGTGGGGTACCAAGGCCAGCAAGAAGTACACCGACCTGGCCACCTCCAAGAAGGTCCGCAAGGCCGCCGAGCCCTTCATCAAGTGGCTCGAGGAGGCCTCGGAGGAGGAGTCTAGCGAGGAGGACGAGTAAATGCGCATCTGACGGAGAAATTGGGAGACGTCATTGGCATTTCGCAGTCAATGACTTTTCGTGCCCAACATTAACTTTGAATTCGCATATCTTTTCTGGGCAGCATTGCCAGAACAGTCCGCTCGTTTTCTTTCCCCTCGGTTCCCATCTCCATTCGGCGACTGAGCGTTTCCCTTAACCTGGAACATCTCTCGTCGGTGGACGGGATGTCGGTACTTAGGTAGCACACATCTTGTAGACTGCAGCCATTGGCAAATCATCCACTCTCACTCTTTGACCGGCACCTTTGTTTCAATGTTTCTTGATCTATCTACGTCAATTTCTGGTGCCAAGCTTTTTGTCCTCCAGCTGATGTAGAACTCGGGTGAAAGCTGCAACGCCCCGCGCGCCTCCCGTGTGGGTAAAACAGTCTAGGCTCGTAAAACTCAATGTCTCTTCAACCCGCAAACTCCCCCCCCTTCCCCTCCCAAGTCATTGTCAAATAATGCATTCGCCAAAGTCCACAACCTCCTTGTTGGGGAAAACGCCCCAATATGTGCAGATCACCAAGATCTGTCGGTTCCAAAAAATTCTACCAGCTGCTGTCAAATACCTCCCGCCAGCCGACCACCCTTCCGCTTCTACTGCTGCGGTATCATTCAAGAGCTCCCCCTGAGCTCGGCTTCGCCATAATCACCTCTACCATTGGTCTGCCGCACCGCCTGTCGATTGCGCCAAAGTCGGATCTCCCCAAGGAGGGACGTTGGTATCCCAGGCGCCTGGCATACTCTTGCTGCTGCTCGAAGTCTTACTCATCTCGGTCGCCGTCGGGCCATAGTTGACTTCGCCGCTCGTGGTCTCGGGGCCCCATCCGGCACCGCCGCCAGCCGAAACCCATTGATCAGTCTTTTCCCTCTTGCTTCCCGAGCTCTTCTTCGACGAGTGGGAATTGTGGGGGCTATTGTTGGTCGTTGGGCCAGCGTTGTTGTATGTGGTCCAGGCCGAGTTGCTGGCAGTCGCCCACGCATCGCCCTTGGACGCATTCCTTGAGCTCTTCTCATTTCCGTTGCCCTTGTTGGACGAGTTACCAACGGGACTGTTGGTCGAAGGCCCAGCGTTGTTGTCCCAGCCAGCATTGGTTGAGGGCGGCGGTGGTGAAGTCTTCTTCGACATGCTAGACTTGTTCGAGTT